GCCGCGCTGCGGCCGTTAAACCGCCGCCCCCGTGCCCAGCCCCCCCAACTCGGTGACGGAGCCAGGGGCCTTAACTACCCCACTTTCAGACGGCTCCTACACCAGCACTGTGCTACACAAGTACCAGTTTCTACCCATAAGCACTAGTTTACCTAATTAGATAGGAGCAGCTGGAACAAGGGCTTAGGCAAAGGTTTTACGCCCCTTCCCACCCCTCATAAGAAGCACAGGAGCTCCTAGCTCCCTTTTTTCTCTTTAAGGTTGCAAGGCATCAGCAACTCTCACCTTTTCTCTCCTAGAGGAAGCAAAAATACTGCATCTTCCTACAACTATGCAACTTCCACTACAACTATGACCAGTTTGATTTAACCAACCTCCTTCCCTTTCCCCTCCACCCCTGCTTTAGAGGCACAAACAGGAGTGGGGCTGATGCTAGGGGAGTATAACACCAACCTTCTAGTCATATAGAACATCCAGAAAGTTATCTACCCTTCTAAACAAGCCTAGCTTTCTCATCCTAAGAGAACAGCCAAAACTGGAAAGCTAAAAAAAAAAAAAGTCACTTAAGTAAGCATTTATTAGAGAATCCTTTAACATGAAATTATACAAATAAAGTTTGTATAAACACAAGTCCACATTGTGTCATAACATGAATGGCAAAAAGTAAAAACCATAAAAGAAAACTAATCGGCCGCTATATACAGTTGGACACAGTTGTGTCATACACTAAAAGTCTTTTACAAAATAGTCATTTTCATGTCACGAAGACCACTCTCCATTCACTCCTGATGCGCTGCAAGATGGCTTTGATGCAGTATCTCCACCTACAAACCAAGACAAAGTACATGTCAGATGTGTGCAAGTTTTAACAAGAATTGTTAAAAGGTCCATTTTCATGAACTGCTTTAAGTCTTCTATATATTCCTTTCTTCACTGTTAAAGATCATATGCATATTTATTAAGGTAACAAGAGGTTATGTTACCACCCATCAAATCATTTAATTTCCCAAATACAGCCATTCAACCCATTGAAGAAGCTGTTCCAGAAGGCCACATAATCAAGTTAAACTATTAATTAGGCTCCGGATCTGTTTTTTAACTGGAAACTCTGCCAAGGGTTTCCTGTTTATTGTTAATTCATCTGAATAACTTCAATGTCAGATGCATTTTATTCAAAATATTCCAAAGACAGTTCACGTGCATATGATCTTTAATATTTATCCAGATTTTAAAGTTCGTTTTGGTTTGCAGATTTCACTATTAGCTATAAAAAGAAAAAAAGCAAGCATTAAATCTTAAAGAATGCACACTTAAAATGAGGTTCCACAATTGAAATACAACACTAAACAGAAGACCAAATGATTAAGCTGTAAAGGCATTTATGTACTTTAACTCCTGTAAAAAACCATTTAAGTTAAGACACTTAATCTCCAAAAAGATTAAAAAAGAAGCCAAAGTCTGAAGTTTTCCACTTTAATCTTTACGCTGGTACATGAAGTTGGAAGAGACCATACCACAGGACAGCGTTTTCTGGTGTATGCCTTGCGCTCTGCCTGCAACGTGCGACCCCAGAGATAGACGTGGTCAGGGTGACACACGGCCTGCAATGAAGTTCCCGCTGGCGGGTACAAACAAGGTATAATGTCAGAGTTAGAAGACAACATTCTTGTTTTCCTTAAGTTGTACCCATTTCAGTACTTTACCTGTTAATACTTCTAATAAGTTTAATTATTCCTCTAGACCACCTGGTACACAACGCAAAACAGAAAAACTCTTATGTTTTTCTGAAGTACTAAAGAAGATAAAGTCACATTTTTACAAAGTTAAAGATCTATAGACACTGTAGGCAAAGCTGGTTTAAAAAAAAAGAAGTATTTTTTAAGTTAACAAAAGCTTAATTAAAGAAAACATCAAGCTACACAAGTTTTTACTCTTCATTTGTCTATTGATCTTTAAACTAGATTACATATACTCAAGAGTGGACCTTGCACTCATACACACACCTGTTTCCTCAAGTATTATGTACTGCTTTAGTATGGCTGGTAGTTGTTTTGGTGATTGCCGCCACCCCGGGATGCTTTGCCGTACGTGCTTTGTTGACCTGTGGAGAAAAACATTTTTTCAAGTACCGTTTACCCATCTAAAGCACAGAATTGGTTACTCTTTTGAGAGCCATGTGCTTCAATGAGAGGTACTCACACCCACAAGCACAAGGTATTGGGGATCACCCCCACTTACCACTGTAATCTGTGTATCCCGGTCCGTATCCATAATTAGGATAGTTGTACCCAGAATAGTCGTATCCTCCGTAGCCACTGTAGCTTTGATCACTGTAAGCACTGTTGTAGTTTCCGTATCCTTGATCATAATAGTTATTAAATCCTTGATTCCAGTTTTGTCCCTGACCTATAGCCAAATATTACAGTTAGTGTATTAGATTACATAACTGCCATTCACCTCACATGACTTGATGTTACTTGCTGTCTTTCTGTACAAGAATTACCCCCCAAAACCCTCTTACCTTTCCAATAACCCATAACAAAATCAGGGCAGGAAGGTGTAACACACACACACACACACACACACACACCACAACAACACACCACCCCCTTCATCCAAATGAGCTGCCTGAAAAATCTCATCATTAAAAGCAAAACCTTGCTTTTAAAAAGCCCAAAAACATGTAGTTCTGCAAAATACACATACACACCCCCCAAAAGAACATCATACACACAAGGAAAACAAGCACCATAATCACATTTGTTTTCCTTTCCTAATTTCCACCTTTGGATCATGAAACACATGAGCATTGAGTGATAGGAGTTATAATGCAAGACCAGCTTTTTAGTTGTGTCTGAGTTAAACGCACATTAACCTTTAGCAAATCCCTCTGCGTTTTTCAGCTACCAACCAACACTATCCTTTCACACTCTGTACTGCCTAGTTATCTAAGATGTGAAATATGTATTTAAAAGAACAGCTTAGATGTGGCTTGCCTTTTGAACATTTCTGCACACAAAGATCTTAAGCTTCAGTATATAGTTCCACAGGCATAAGCTAAAATGTGATTTGTGAGGAGATCCCCAAACAAGCTTTCTGTATTATTCTTGTAAGCGTTAAAAACCTACATACAATGCAAAACTTAGAAGAGCTAAAGACCACCACCTCTATTAGAGATGGGTAATGATTTACACTGCTGATAATATCCATAAAAAAATCTCACCCCGTCCACGTCCCCTTCCACCTCCTCGTCCACCAGAGGAGTTTCCTTTTCCACCTTTCTGTTGCTGCTGCTGTTGCCTGTATACCTCTTTGGGCTGGGCTACTTTGATCTCACACTGTAAAAACAGAAGTATTTTAGTGCTCCAGGAAGTTCAACACCATTTTACCAGATGCTTTCAGGGAAGTGCATGGACAGTCATCAATTTAAAATGTACCAGAAGAGCACCTCCCCTACCTTGCCTGAACCAATCTGATGGTATCGGCTTTCTAATAGTTTCTTTACTGGCTCTTCATCTGTGTATGTGATAAAACAGAAACCCCTCCTCTCATTTGTCTTGGTGTCCATGGGAAGCTCAATGTTTTCAATCTGAAAGTAAAGGAACAAAAACATGTGAAAACTGTAATGAATGTTTTATGCAGCCAGTCATTCAGCAGTCCAATGCTTATGCTAACAACAAATTTAAATGGCTATTTTTTTCAGATTTTCTTTGTTTCACTAGCTCTATTTATAACTGCAGCATTTAGTTAAGGCAATTTACAACAGACATCCAGTTGCACAGACAAACTTGCACTGCATAGCTGCACTACATAAACCACTACATGGTGGGAGAGGGAGGACCAGCAGATACTTGAGCTTTTGACAGCTACAAATTAGTTTAATCCCAGCAGGATAAAGCACATATGGGTGTTTCAAAGAAGTCTAGCTTCCCAGGAGCCACATCTATATCCTTCCCTTCTAGCGCCTTCCGTCTTGGGAGGAATCAAAACTGTTTTTATACTCTGCCCCACCTTACCTCGCCAAAAGCACCAAAGTACTCCTTGATCTGCTCTTCAGACGTGTCTGGACTCAGCCCACCAACAAACACTTTTTTGGGCGGCTCCTTCCCCTTCAGGGCTTTTGCCCGTTTAGGATCTATCAACTTCCCATCCAGCTTGTGTTCCTTCAGTTCTAAAACCTGAAAAAAAAAAAAAAAGAAGAAGATGGGGGGGAGAACAATAACAACACAAGCTCAAGTTGTCAGCAGGGAGACAGCAGTACCCTCATGAACCCACTGCCGCTGTCACCACTCACCTTTTCCACGCTGGCCGCATCCTTGAAGAGCACAAAACCAAAGCCCCTCGACCGCCCGGTCACTGGGTCCGTTTTAATGGTGCAGTCCACGACCTCGCCGAAGCGGGACAGGTACTCTGTGAGGTCCTTCTTGCTTGTGTCCCAGCTGAGGCCGCCAATAAACATCTTCCTAAAGCACGGACACACGTATACGTAAACACACCGCGCATACGGACACGTACACGGTGCTCATACCCCCACACGGCCGGGAAGGACCGCCCGCCCGTGACGTCACTTCCATGATTGACATCCCCGCCCCGCCGAAACTCGGTCACTCGCCCCGGACACAAAGGGCGGGCGCGCGGCGCCCCCGCCGACGGCGAGAACGCGCGTGCGCGAGCGTGCTGATTGGCGGGCGGA